ATTCTGGGAGGTACTCTGAACAGTAGTGATGTACACATGTAATGTATGACTGACATAAAGTCACCGTGCCTACGAAGTCCTGGATTGTTGTGCTGCTATGTACTTTAGGTCCTTTAGGTGTATTATTTATCGCGTGCTTATGACTTGAACGTGAGGGAGCAATGTTTCAAGTACTTGACATTCTGTGAGAAGAGGGTTCAAGTCGAAGCAAGTCCAAGATCCAAGAACTGTGATTGCGCAATCTCGGACGAGAGATGGGTTTTGGCGGAGGGCGCTCCAAGTACACCTAGACGCCAATTAAAGTGGACCAGACTTGAATCAAGACTGCCAAGATGATTGCAAAGGAAGTTGGAGCAACCCCAACAGAAAACCTTCAATAAGACCGCTGAAGCCCGTCCCTAGAGTCAAGAATGCTGACTAAAGACATCAGACAGTCAGACATCCCTTTTTGGTCGCTTGACATGTCTTCCGTCTTATCGACATCTCCGCGGTCCACCCATTGTGCTTTTGCCGTGAAAGCTTGGTCCGGAGCCTCTACATCAGGAGTGCTAGTGATGGGCCTAAAGACAGCGCTTTGCAGGGAACAGCTATAAATTTAGTGAAGAACATAATACTCATTTGTGTTGGATTTAAATTTTAGACTCTATTAGACATGATACCAGTACCACTTAGAGATCTCAGCGAGGAGTTTTCATGTCACAGCTCCATTTGAGGCAATATTCTCGCATGTCTCGCATTGCTTCAAACTTGGGTGGCGTCATTGACGCGATGTGGGGCAAGATGATGCTACAGGGCGATGCCAACGCATTGAGATGTTGCTTAGCACTGTCGCAGAAGATCCGCGGAATCATGGCAGCCTTTCCGAAGGATGTGCCTGTCATTAGCAGCCATCCGATTGTTGGGAACATGGCTGTGGCCTGCGGATTCAAGAACGTCATCAACTTGATTTTTGACAACTATCCACAGCAGCTTGCTTCAGATCCAGAATATGATGATAGAATATATTAAGATTCTTTCAACTCGGGCGATCCATACTCCAGCAACTGCCTTTGGGAGTAGAAATAGAGGTTTGCGTGCGACACCAGCACCTTGCTTGGAGTGTTCAGCGAAAGCTGTTTTGACTTGCCCAAGGTATTTTGTTTTGGTGCCCGGCGCAATCAATTTAGTGCAGTCACCTTCTTACTTTGACAAGCTCCTGGATATGGGATGCCCATCAAGTAGCCTTCGCTTAGCAGGTCATTGGGTGTCTCGGCTTGTTGAAGACAGGACCTTTCTCACGTTTGCAGTAGGATTGACCAATATTGACCATGCGGGCTATGAGTGGAATGGAACGGAATGGAATGGAATGGAAATGACCATGGTATTTGCATTCATTTGCTTGGTACACGAAGGATTGTGTGAGCCGGCTTTCTGTGCACGCAGTAGAGGTTGTTACAAGAGCTTTTCAGGTGTCTAGTGACCTTGTCCTGAATGCCATTCCCGACAGCAAGGACAGGGTGTTTTGTTGCAAAATGTTGCAAACACTCAGAAGAGAGGCATCGGAAGAGGAAGGTCATGAGCTTCGGAAAGAGGTGGACCTGATCCCTTTGCCAGGCACGGCTGAGTCGCCTGGAAAAGAAGCTGCCACGTCGTTTCCTGATTGCTGTGGGTGGTGCTGGAGCTCAACGTGCATTTTTGGAAGGGCTCTTGCAAGGCACGGGAAGTTCCCTTCTGTTTTGAAAGAAACATCAGCTTCTTCAGAGCTGCAACCAAGAGCTTTGGTTCCAAGAGCTCAGATGGTTGACTGTGGCGTTTCTTGTTGAGAATGAGGTATTGCCGACCTTCTGCGAGAGAAGCGCGCCCTGACTGATGATTTGGCTGCTCATACTGTTCATACTATTCCACTGTGGAGCTGTGCTTTCACTGCTGTGTGCCATCTAAAGTTTTGGAGCTCATCGGGACAGGATGGTCAGATAGTCCAAGAGAATACTGCCACTCATCCAATCCTCATTTTGTGAGATACTTAGTCGGCCTTCAAGGCAGACGGGTTTTGGGCCTTCTGAGGCATTCGGATATATTTGAATTGTGGAGATCATGGACACATCGCAGATGCAGTCTCGGCAAAGCTGCAGGCGGGGGGGTTGCCAAAGAGAATGCCCAAAGATCCTATGCTTTTGGAATATTTACAGTAGGATGGCATCGCTGGCCGACATCTTGATATATCCGCGCATCATCTTGTGAGGCTTTGTCCTTGGACTGGACAGAAGTCACCACCAATGAAGGGACCGTCGAACTCTGCAAGAAAGAGGCCTTGGCAAAATTGGAGGAGCCGGCAGATTGGAAGGCGGGCAGATTGTCAGTCTCTGCCAGCGCCGCATCTCACCCATTCTCAACCGAATGCTGACAACGTTTGAGAACAGGTCAGCAGAGGTCAGCCCTATGAAGGTTGCAAGTTGCAAGTTTGGGCATGTGAAGAAGGGTAAGGGGTAGACAGCTACTTAAGCTACTAGTATGGACGCAGGATAGCTCACGCTTCAAGTAAGCTCCCTACGCCTGAGTGCCGGGGGTGAGCTTTCAGGGAGGGAGAGGTTTGTTTAGAGGACAGGGCCCATGATCCACTTAAAGAATCTTATACACAGTAAGTTTAATATGTCGAACAATGTTGCCTTATCCAACTTCGTATAATAGGGGCGTCTCTGCAAATTGAAACGTCAAACTCTTCTGAGCCTCCGGACCAGCGGCTTCCCCGAGCTGAAAGTTCCGTGACCGCTTCAGGCCGTGACGTTGTTCCGCTTCGACTCCCACTTTGCCGCCTTCCGGTGCACGGACCTGGTGATCCGCATGGTGGACGTCCTGGTGACCAAGCCCTCAGAGTTGGCCTTCTTCCCCGTCGGGGGTCCTGGAGCTCGAACGGAGGACGGGTGACACGGAGGACGGGCGGCTCAAGTGGGCGTGGCAAATGGAAACGGGTAGCTGGAGCATAGGGGGAGATGCAAAGGAGCATGAGAGCCGATGGAGATGATGTGAGCTGGATCTAGAAGAGCACAGCTTAACAGTTGACACACTTAGTGATGAGGTGACAAGAGGCGCGACTAGGTTTCACTGGGAGGATCCCCATTCTCCGCACTGTTATATATAGTTGTTGTTCCCTGAAAAGCCTGAAAAGTGCCTACACTACACCAAAACTCCAATCAAAAGGGCCATTGGCCGTCTGAAAACTGGCAGGGTGTTTCAGCTTTGGAATGTGCGGACGAGGAATTTTCGGAGCCAAAGGCTTCTTTTGCTACTAATTGTAATTTGATTCTAATAGCAAACATTGTTACTACTAGTAAGGCCCTTGTTACTAGAAGCGATGCACTTGTTCGTAGCTTCTTTTGCTGAGGTGCCAAAGCTTCACATCCGTCGAGTTGGGGCCCATGAGGCTCACAGTGCCGTGCGAGCACAAGAGCTCGGTGATGGCACGGTGGAATGCCGAGAGGCCCATCTGATGGCATTCTCAGCTCACTTTGAGAAGAGTCTGAAGTTAAAGCACAACCAACTGGTCCTGTCAAAGCAACTGTTTGATTGATTTGAATTGGACAGTTTCAACACCCTGTGCCATGTAAGTTGAGAAAACCAAGAGAGAAACATGCAGAATGTGTCCAACTTGAGGAACAAAAAGAAGAACTTGTTCGCGCTATGATCCCAACACGATGCCCCGTCCAATCCTTGACAGCTTGGGAGGTGAGCCATGCAGTATCCAAATTGCATCAGCTGATTGAGCCAGATTCAGCGCTCTTCCGCCTCATGAATGACTGCATTATCAAGGCCAACATCTCGGAATAATATAAGAGTATGAAACATTATTGAACTAATGGAATTACTTTGACATGCTGTTTGCAGTGCTTTTTGCATAGACAGCTGGTTGCTTCTTATAATAGTTTCTCTCGCTAGAGTGTCAACGTTATCTCAACGCCACGTAGGCAGCAGAGACAAACGTCTATGACGGCAGCAAAGTGGCATGTGAGATTGCATTTGGTTTGAATGAGAAGACAGCTGAAAAGACTGGGAAGAAGACTGAACTGATTCCCAAGGAGGCAAAGGAGAAGGTTTTGGTAGCAGCTTGACGCTGTTTACAGCGCTCAGCATGATCAAGCTAACGGGCTCAACATTGATTGAGTCAATCTGCTTGTTTTGCTGTCTATTGATTTTTAAGCATGGACCCTACGTGCAGCTTGTGCCTGTGGAATCAGAAATACACACATTTTAATATGCTATCCGGAGTGCTTGTTGATTGTAGGAGCTTTTTGCAGCATATGCGGCCTAATTTTGGAAGAATATGTCATATCAGTTCGATAAGCCTGCCGCGCAGCAATCAGTTCTTTTTCGAATTTGGTGTCTTCAGTGTCTTCTTTTAAAGCAGACAGGCACAAGGGTAGAGGAAGGAGATTGCACTCTTGGCTTTTGCCCGCAACAAGGACATTTCCCCCCAAGGTTTAGGAGAGAACAGCTCTCCCTGCTCTCTGGAAGGACAAGCTTGATTAAGACACATTGTTGCCGAGTAAATATGGTGCGATAGGTCTTTGTATTGGTGGTCAGCAAGCTGACTGCTTCATAAGACTGTCCACGCAGCCAGACCACCAACTTGTTTTGTGCATTCTAACGTATTAATAATGAACATTTATGAACCAATGCCATCCTTATGATGGGCTTGTGGGTTGTGTCAGAAGACTGTGCGCAAACAAGACCGCCGCTTATACATTGACCAAAGATCGTCCAGGTTCCAGATACTTCCTTTCTTGACTCCCAACAGGTACATGATAATCTTTGGGGGAAAGCATCCCTTTCTGAACAAGCGAAACGAGCTGGATCAGAAGCTGATGCCCGGAACATAGCTGAAAACTTGTGGTGAAGGGAGTAAAGTCATCAAAACTTAACATGTTGTGATGGATTTGATATGATGATGGAATCAATTGGACGTCTCAGGCTGGAAGGTCGTTTAGACTTTACTGACACCTCCAGCGTTGCAGCACAGGGCTTAGGGCTGTTCGGCCCGGAGCCTTGGCTGAGCGTGTGGCTGGGCGCGTAGCGCACGGTCGGACTCGCCGCCGACTGGACTTGCCGTCGAGGCTTGGGGGAGACGATTCAGAAGTTCTCGGAGACTGCCAGGAGACGCCCGGGGAATGGGAGCAACTGCGGACAGGGAAGAAAAGGAGAACCGTTGTTTGTGTTGTTTTCTTCAGGAAAAGGAGAGAAAACGAAGGATCGACGGTGTATTTGAAGAAGGTCCTCATGACAGATGTACATTGAACAGCCTTGAGACGCACGCAGGAACTTCTGCAAGCAGCTTGTGGGGTCTCCCAGGATCGTGCGAAGGTCGAACAGTGAAACAGCAAGCTAAGCTCGGGTATGACTCGGTATGACAGAACAACACTCGGTATGTTGTTCATTTTGTGTTTTAATATGATATGATATGGCAGAATGGCTTGCTGAGGTTCAAGTGAACCCTGCCTCCCGAATGACTGCGAGCAATGCTCTCAGGCACTCTCATTTGGGCCGGTTCTGACATTTCACGAGCTTAGCTTTTCCCTTTGCTTTTCCCTTTGTTTTCAATTTCTTGGTGCACTTGGAGGATCAATGTAACTGGCATATGCGCTCCGGGGGGTGTGCTAGTGTACTTGTTTCTTGATTGCCTTCACTTTAAACGTTCAAACCCGGATCAGAGCTGGTGGTGTTTCTATCTTTCTTTTTGCAGCCGTTTCGGTGTCAGCTCTTTCTTTTGACCAGGGTGCCTTGGCTGAACTCCGGAAGGCGGGCCGGTCTTGACTCAACGTTCGAATTGCCGTGGGAAACACCGGTTCACCGCCCTGCGATCACACGGACACCTGCGGGAGCCTTCGGCGACACGTCGGAGAGATCGACTGATTGAGGCGTTTCGCCGAGCAACAGAGAAGGCAATCCGAGAAATCAGGTGCGTTTCAGTTGCAAGCGAGACCTTTAGATGCAATATTTAAGTTGAGCGAAATCAGGTGCTTGGTTGCTTGGTTTGTTCCACGCAAGCTGAAGACTTCAAAATCTCTAGAATTATACAAGTGTTGCGCGACTGGTTTCCTAGCTTCTTGTTGTGTATTGATTCTTGCTGGACATGCAAGCTCTTCACAAAATAAGGCAAGCGATGCTAGCTGTTTACAAAGTTAGGAAGCTTCGCGTTGTTCGCAAGCTATTTTTGAGCAATAGCAGTTTCGAAGTGACTGCCCGGGATCTTGTTTGGCGTTCGTGCAACGATTGCAACCACCCACGGAACGGGTAGCCATGAGCTATCGGGATGCCATGTTTGAGAAGGCATCGCTTCCATCCCAGGTACACCAAGAAATGCGGGCACTCCAACTGGTACTCCCAGAAATGGTGGCACTCCAAGGAATGCTGGCACTCCAAGGAATGCTGGCACTCCAAGGAATGCTGGCACTCCAAGGAATGGCACTCCTAGAGGTGGCACTCCAAGAAAAGGTGGTACTCCAAGAAATGCCGAGGTTCGCCCGGCACGCTTGCTTGTTGTTCCAATCTTTATTTTTATACTGTAGTTAAATTGGAAAACCTATTAATTCAGGCTTTGCTTGCTACAATTTTGATCACAAGTATGCAAGTGGAATTAACATTGCCAATGACATGTTTCAACCAATTGATGGCATTGATAAGTCACAAGTCAAGAAGAAATACCGAGCAACAGTGACAGCATGCATGTCTGTGTTTCTATTCCGAGTTGAGCAGCTTCCATGCTCGACTCTCATTACATATGCAAGGGAATACTTGTGACACGTTGACTTTGTTCTTTGGACATGAGCCAGGCCACCGCGCCAGGTGCCAAGGGGTGCCTCTCAAAGTGCTCAGGGCTTGTGACTTGTGAAAGCTATTTTCTTGAATGTTCATTTTTTCTTTTAAACTGACTGGCAGATTGCAGGAAGTACATCCCACTCCACAGTGGAGGGTGCTGGCACAAACTCTGACTCTAACATGTCAAGGAGAGGATCATTCATACTTTACAAATGCTCGTCCTCAACTACTCAAAGTTGATTTAGTTTTTCCGAAACATGTTGTTACTTTGTGTGTTGGGTTGTTTTGTCACATTTTGGCGGGAGAGATGCACATCAAAGAAGATGATGCAGTGGATTGAACTGCTTTCAGAGTCCGGGTTGAACATGTTCATTATAGTCGTGAAATACACTTCAGATGCAATGCTCAATGCACGTTTGCCGCTTGATGCTTCATTGCTAGCGTTTTCTCTTTCTTGGACAACTTGTTACTAGTAACGATGCCCTTGTTACTAGTAGCTTCTAGCTACTAGTAGTAGTGCACTTGTTACAAGTAGCGATGCCCTAGTGGTGAAATACACTTCAGATGCAATGCACGTTTGCTAGTAGCTTGGTGCTTCATTGCTCATGATTGCGTGAATGTTGTTTGATTGTTCGCAATGCCCTTCAAGACAGTTCTTTACCTAGACCCAAACTAGTAAACTATGCTTTCAGAACGTTTGCTCGGCTACCCAATACAATTGTTCTGACAGATGGATCCTTCTGCCTTGCTATGATACTTTAGGCCTGGCGGCGGTGGTGCTCCTGGCTTTGGGTATCCACAGGTGCATCCCAGCCAAGCTGATGCGCACCCGAACATCACAGAGCTTGGGACATGTGGTATCAGAAATCCTTTGCAACCCACCTTTTTAAGACGAATCCATCATTTATGGCTTGGTGTTGCAATTGAACCTGCAGCATTCATTTGTAAAGGTTTCTGTTGAAGTATGTAACGAACATGATTGATACTAGTTGCATGGCATGACATTCTTATAGTTCTCCAAATGCAGTGACCTGGGATTTGAACACAGGCCGATGACAAAGCAAAACAATTGGAGCCGGGAAGCCAGATGCGACAGGTTCACCGTGCTTCAACAAGTGCAGCATGGGGTTTGCTGAACTGGCTGCAACTCCTGAAACATGTTCTTGGGGGTGATTTATCCCTCAATATTTTTTGTTTTAGATAATCAGCGATTATAAACATTGTTCCGTTGTGGTAAGATGTTTCAAGGTAATTTGTTCAATTAGGTGCTGTCTAGTTTGGCTATACAGATTGTGATGCACAGTGACTATAACAATACCAGGTTGTAGGTGTATTTGTGTGTGAATTATCAGGTTATTATAGTTGCATTTGTGTGCGAATCCGATTCCGATGCTGTCAAAAGAACCACCAGAAGCAGCTTGTCCATGACTGCTGTAGGATATGGAGAAAGTGCAAATCAGTACAGACGAAAGTACGAAAGCAGTACTGAAGTTTTGTTCAAGAGAGTCTCTTTCAGTGCAATGGACATGCAAATACAGGAGCTCTTGTATTCTAATTAATTGTACTATTGTACTGTAAACATGGAGGTCAGGTATGCAGGCTTAGATGCAAACACATCAAGCACACCAATGAGATGGCAGATTTACGTTGGTTTCCTTTAGTGTTAGCATTTGAAGATCCGAAATGCCCCCAGCTGCCCATGTTACTGATGCCAAGGCTGGAGAAGCTTCAAAAGAGAGTAAATGAATTAGAAGCTCGAGAAAGAGAGCAAAAAAAAGAATGACGAAGAAGCTCAGGCTCAGGACAGGAGAAACACTTGAGCCGCCTGAGCAGTTGATTGGTATGAAGAGTATTGGTGCTCATGTATGCTGGCATCCGATGTAGCAAATATATAGATAGATGATAGATAGATATAGATATCACTTTTCATAGAACAATGCTAAGTACCTTTGGCCACCCAAAACCTCATTGACTCAAGTGCACAAAGCGATGGCAGTCACATGCGGGCGGCTGCATGTGACATGTGTTTCTCCAGCCCATCTCAGCTTTCGGGGCAGGCTAGGAAACAAGCGCAAGCAAAAAGTTTTCGAACTCAGCGGACGAGGGTGTGGCGCTTGGAGGGTTGTAGGGGTGTCTTTTTTGTACAAGTGTCCACTGTGTATTGTATCATGATGTAATTTAATCATACTTTGATGTGTTTGACGGGTTTCAGAGTAATTAATTGGAAAAGAGGCTTTTGTTAGTGTTGGCTTGCACAATTTGTTTCTTCTTTAGGCTGGTCCATGGCCGCTATCCGAGGTGACCGAAATGAACCCTCCAGTCTCTGCTGATGTGTCGCCAGCGACGCTAATGCCAGGGCCACCACGGCTATTGGTAGCAGGAGGGGTGTTGCCTCATTTTAAGCTTCTGTGACCTTCCTCCTCATGAGCTGCATAGCTTGCCAAATGATCTTTAGACTAGCTTAGCATGATCTAGCATGCAGTTTGCAGGAACCAGGTGTCGCTACGAGCCCACTTCGCCTGATGCTCAGGGGCCCCATTTCACACGATACAATCCCCAAAAGCCGCAGAGAGAGAGTCCGCGGTCGCCGCCAGGCCGCGCTAAGCCCCGCTCAGCCCGCTCGGCCTTGGGTCCTTTCAGTGACTACCCCTTGTCCCCCCTCTCTGCACGAAGGCTTCAGTGACTAACCCTGGTTCCATCGGGTTCCTTTTTTTGCAAGATCTGAGGTCAAGCAAGTTTCCCTTCATCCCTGCCGTGGTGCAGGGCTTCAATGATCTTGACTGTCCCCTGGGCCTTAATTTTTTCAGAGCAAGCTGACAGGATTGCGAGCTTTCAGGGAAGGGTAGAGTCAGAGCAACAAATCAAATATTTTTTATATGTCTCCTCTATATAAATAACAATAATTAAATAACAATGCTGGCCCTCAAATGATTCAGAATGAGCCTTAAACTTAGGCGTGTGAACTTTGCCTATTCCCTGGACACTCTAATTCCATGCACTTCATGTCTCCTCTTTCAAGCTGAATCTGTGCATTGCAGCCAGTAGCAGGGACTTGTTTTGCATGTTTGGCTCCCAGTGGGCAGAAGCCCTGCTGCCCTTCCCGCCAACCGAAATTCATGCCAGAGTATAGTACAAGCAAGCACGCAAGCAATATTGCTTTCCAGATGTTTTCAAGGTCACAGAGTGTCTACAATTTAGGAGAGCACACCATCTCAGAGTGATCCAGGTGTCTGACACTGAGGGTTAAATGCTGCAGCAGTCCCATGGATTTCCTTCGGCCGCTTTTCTTCATTTTGCCTCTCATCTTAGCTGAGGCCTGTCTTGTGTTTTGTTGGGTACGGTACGGTAGGCCTTTTCATTGCCTCGGGGCCTCTGGTTTTTTCCTACGATCTAGACACCTGGACCTGAGCAGCATGTGTTGAAAGAAAATGGCTTTAGGACTTAGAAATTTTTCCTTGATGCATTTAGGTTCCTGTTTCTATTCTTGGTGCTGATGTCCCGTTACTTTGTCCGACCACTGCCCAATGCTCCTTGCGATGCTTTCTTTCTTTTGTGCGAGTGCATGCTTGGGTTCCTTTTGGTGTCCACGAAAGATGTTAAGATATGTTGAGTGTTGAAGTTTGCAGACATTCCCTCCAACATCGAAGATCTGTGAAGTCCACGCGTGTCTCACGTAAGCATGCAGCTGGAGTGCCAGTTGGAGAATCCTTCACCCACGCCATTGCGTGTGCGTGGCAACCTTGATCGGGCGCGAGAACTGCAACGTATTGCTGCAAAGGTGGCTGGGAAAAGTCCTGCCAGTGAACAAATAATGACAGTGTCAAAGGCAAGTGCCAAGATTGATTGAGATCCTAAAGGCTGATGTGGATTTGAGTTTTCAAGGTTGATAGCCTTAAAGGAGTATTCAAGAGTCTTGAGAATGCACGAGGAGAGGGAGAGAGAGAGAGAGAGAGAGTTTTTGAGAGTTTGACAAATTGTCTAATTGTGACTCATGGCTGGAAGATTCACACCAAGGTGGAGGGGTTGGGTTTGCCAGGTGAATAGAGAAACAACCTTGCCGGATCTCGTACTTGCCTTGACGCGTTTCTTGGCACTGGGAAGGCCTATGAAGGAGCCAGCTTTGATCAGAGAGCACCCCTTGTTGGATTTGAGGAGTGTGATTCTCAAATTGTCACTTGTGAAGGGAATCCAGAGTATTTGTGGGCGTAGATTGGAAGGATTCATGTGGGGTTCTTACATACCCTTGCGGCTGTGGGCTGTGGGTCAATGTTTCTGTATTGAATTGAACATGTTCTTTGACCCTTTAAGTATTCACAAGCTGAACTTGTTTATCGGAAACTTGTTACATATCTTAATGAGACTTGAACGAATACAATAGTTCCTTCCAGCTCCTGATCATGGCTGCCATGGCAGTTCAAGCTCTGACGGTAGAGATATACTCCCTTGGCAACATTTTCTATTAGCTACATGCATTGTGCTGCAACATGAAGCTTGCCAACTTGCAGGGGCACCAAACCTCAATCTATGAATGTTCCTTGATCAGGTTCATCGGGTGTACTGGCTTGTTGCAAGATCCACCCAAACATGTGGATGCTGGGCCTAATTGCCTAATTGTATCTACACTATAATTGCACCATATCCCAACGCCGAAGACTCCCAGTTTTGTCCAGGTCTTGGGCTGGTTGAACCCAGCTTGACACCTGCTGAGCTTCCGAAATCATCAGATCCAGCAGCATTGCGCCAAGCTGCTGTTGAGGAGGCACGGAGGGTGTGTGAAAGTTTTGGAGGGATAGTTTCAAGAGTATGCATTTATCATGTTATTCACAGTGTTTGTTTGTCAATATGGACATGATTTGTAACAAAACGCCAAGTGGAACTACACTCTGGTGACATATGTGACATGTAGGTTGGACACCTAAGCTCAACATTTGCAACGCTACTCATGTCAGATCACTTGAGAGGCACTAGAGTCACTCATCCTGACCGAAGCTTGTTCTGGTCGAGCCTTTAAGGTCAAGAGACTGGAAGGTAGAGCCAACGAATTGGTGGATGCTTTGGCAGTGGAGCTTGATATAGCCGACACGCTGAAATCGTTGGTCAACAGGAGGGAGTCATTCATGCAACTGCTGCATGAACCTGTAAGCAATGGACGGCAGAAGTGGAAATACCTTGGAGTGGTTTATTTCGTGGACTTACGGGTTGGTCGGGAGTTAAGCTTTTTCAAGAAGTTAAGGTCCAACCCAGTTTTCATAGCATCAATTAAGGTGTTCCAACAACTAATCAGCTTCAAATGGTTTCAAATCATTAAGTAGTTTTGAAATATCCTAACATTTGAAAATATATCCGTTCCTTTGTCTACCCCTCCCCATCGGCCGCATTTAGTGCTGTGGACAGGCCCACTGGGCAACCTGTTCCATTGTATTTGGGAATATTCCCACATCCCAAGTGAAATTCTCGTTGTACCTGGTAGTAAAGATTTGATGGCTATTGAATTGGCCAATTGGAGAGCGCAGACACCTAGAATGATTTCAGAACAGCAAGCACACTGCTATTTGTAGCCTCCAGGGCCTAAACATTTTGACTTCAGCTTAAATAGTTTGATTCCAGCTTAATTCGTCGGAGTTCGTGAAAGGGCAGCTTTGGGCTGTGTTCAGCCAATGTCTTTACGTGAAAATTCAGAGGCGCAAGTGCAATTGTCATTTGAAAATACACCAAACTTGCTTGTTCAGAGCTATTTTCAGGTGGTGTTGGCCACACCAACAGCCAATTATCACGAGCAAAAACTTGAAAAACACAAGAAATTTAAGAGTTTTAAGGCCAAGTTCGTCGGAGTTCGTCGGAACTCCACTTTAAGCCCGACTTAGATAGGACTCACACTCCCCTGATTTAGATATATTTTGATAGGTAGTAGGAACCCAGGGAAGTTTGCACGGAAGTCTTGGAAGACCTTTACAAATTGAAATTCTGTCTTGAGAGTATTGTAGTGAGTCCCTCCGTCCAGAGCAAACATATGGCCTCGAAGGATCTGGCTTTTACTGCTCACTCAATGCAGAACATTTAGCGGCAGACCACGTTTGACTCACCTGGATGGATCCTTTCCTGTAGGATACCCGTAACTTGTAAAGCTTTAAGTATTCCCAAGCGGAAATTGATGTCCAGCTCCCCAAAAGCCTTATTTCTGTCACGCAAATGTGGTCCACTGCTTAAAGTTCTGAAAACCCTTAAGTTCCGACGAACTCAGAATCCACGAAATAAATCACCTCGGAGTGCATCAAACTATGATACTTCCAGATTCGATGATTCCATTAGCAACTTCAATCCCACGAATCAAACGCTCAACACGACCCCAGCTGCTTTGCTTGTTCTTTTGCATGTTCAACCCAGTCAACACCAATCACCTACGATGCACAATGGTGTTAGCCGTTGCAGTTATATATTCCTTACCCATTGGCTTTTCTGCCTTTGTTTGACGCACGTAAGTGTTTCGAGAAATGCAGTATTGCCACGTTTGCCGTGGTGCAGGAGTCGGTATGTGGCGAACATCACTGGCCGTGCTGGACCATGTCGAAAGAGAGCTAGGGCGCTGACATGGTTGGAGCAGATGCGGTCGAAGCTGCCAGCAAGTGAGCATGAAAAGAGTAAGTTGCACAAGCTGCTGAAAACCATGAAGCTTGGGCCTGTTTGCTTGCACTTTCAGACGTGGTGAGTGTTTGGGTTTCAATTGCTGTAAGATGGATTTGGTAAGTCTTACCCATCCTCCAGCAGCCAAGCATCTACACCATGTTCCGTTCCGCCTCAGGAAGCCACACCTGAAGCGGTAGCTTGGCGCGAAAGTGTACACGTGTTTCACCGTGTTTCTTGGATCAACTGCAGTTGGTGTAAGTAACCCTGACAGGATACAAGAGGAGGCTATGATGGGTGAGCTTGCTCACAACACTACTTTGAATCTCTGGAGAGAATCAAAAGAGCTGGAGCAAAGGCAGAGGATAGAGCAGCTAGGCTTGCTATTATTGTTTTTGTCACAGCTGGGCCGTGCGGGCAGTGCTGGTGTTACAGTGACTCACAAAGGTTTCATAGCTGCCTGTGACGCCTCGGCAAAAGCTGACTTTCGATCATGTTCATCCAAGAGCTGCAATACATTTTCTTGCCAACATAGGGCCAACACATGGTCTGCTCAGTCTGCTCCTTATTTCTTTATGGTGCTCAATGTGGGGGTTTCAGCTTCGGCTCTTCCTGATTGTAGCAAGACACAGACGCATTCTTCCGGGCATGCACACATAGACCACGTCACGACTGTACCAAGACACGGGCGAAAGACGGCTTCTCAAAAATCTTACAAAGAGCGTGGCTAGGCTCCGAGATCCTCCATTTAAGAAGTTATTTTGAATGTTGATCATTCTATTAGCTTTTCTTGAGCTACAACTTCGACTACGGGATCCTGCCAACACATTATCTTCTCTGCATTAATATACCAGAGATTCAAAGAACCTTCAACAAAGCATTTCAATCAGCCTTTCCAAGAACCGATGCAACGCTGTCCAGAGGTCCAACAAGCACTCAACGGCTGGCCTCAGGTTCGAAAGCGCTTTGCAAGCACTGAACCATCTCAACATCTTGGTGAAGGAAGGGGCCAAAATACAGCCTGGAGCACCGGTGAAGTTCAACCTGGACATGTTTACATATGCTTAGGATGCATTGACCCTTGAACCATGCACTGACCAACAGACTTATTCCTTGTGCACACTTAGTATCCCTGCAGGAAAGAACAAGCAAACTGCAGTCTGAAGTGAAGGTCAAGGAAGTGACAACTGTTCACAGGATTTACAGGCACACTCGGACTCATAGTTTCTTGAATTGGTTTTAAACACATTTTTCATTTTGGCGTAACTTGCAGTACTGTAGTCAAAAAGGAACTTTGTTCTTTGCCTCACAAGAGGCCCGGACTGGAGCCTCACAAGGTTCGACCCTGGATATCACAGAGCCTTTTCCAGAGGGATTTCATAAGGATCATCCTCAAAAGAAGACTCCCTGCAACACTGAGACCATACCCTTGCCACCCGTGGTCGGAGCGGTGGATCCGGTGGCCATACCGTTTCGCCCAGCCAAACCTCCAAGCATTCCTCTCACTACCACAGTGGCTTCGACGACTGCATCCAGCACGAGCACGCCTTCTAGCCTGAGTTCTTCAACAAAGGATTTAGAAGAGGAACCTTGGGAACCTTCACCGGATATGCCGAGAATTGCCATCCCTGGTACTCCAGATCCAGACATAGACTCAGAGACGCACAGGAGGTTTTCCACCACATCCCTGAAACCTACATGGAAGAACAGCGCTGGCATCAATGCATCCAATTCCTCTTCAAGCCACCTGGTTGCATGTTTCGGAAAGCTTCTTTTGTGTGTTGACTTGCGTTTTATGACAGTTCTTCCAGTCGTCGCGATTGCTGCAACTATTGCTTCATGTTGCTTGTGAAGCAACGGCATTGAACGGTGGTGCTGGATTCCTCGTTTCAGATATGTGAAGTGGAAGGGCAGTCCGACTCCCCTGGTAAGAGCGACAAATTAAAGTGACGGTCAACTCTCAAGCACGGATCTCAAGAATTCCGATGCGACCGCGAAAGCAGACCAGTCAGAGTTCAGTGTTCGCTCTGCGACCGCAAGCAACCCTGGCCCACAGGATGTTGCCTTTGCCGCACTGCCGTGCGCAGAAGTTCATGGAGTGGAGTGAATCGAACATACATACTGATCACTCTACTACCATGTGGGGCAAGTAACTTCCTCTTCAAATCGACAGTGACGATAGTTATGGTAGACTGCTATTTATATGCTAGCAAGCAACCAAGCAAGCAAGCAAACACACAAACACACAAACACATTATGAAGACATGAAGACATGAAGACACGTGGGTCGATATAATTTGGACAAATCAAGCACACAACTGTGAAAGTGAGAGCTCCCACATTAATATGAAGGCCACCACCTGTTCACGTTTGATGCTCGGTAGTGTTTGGGTTCAGAGTTCAGATCTATTGATTGCGCGAGCCCAATCGTTAAATTGCAATTTTTCTGCAGCACTGTCCAGCTTTTTACCATGACGTCTCGTGTCTACTTCACGCAGACACGCAAAGGCTCAGCTCCAAGCACGCAGAACAGACCTTCCACGAGAGCCCTTCCCAGACCTTCCGCAGCTTTCCCACCGAACTCATCAGAGGGTCTGACGGTGTATGTCATGGACCATACGCTAGAGGACTGGAGAGAACCAAACTCCAGTTCACTGGAACTCAAGTGAATCACTGTTCTCAGCAATACTATATATACGTGTAAGTATTGAATTATTGCCTTTTCACTTCGTGGACAGGAAAACGCATTCTATTGTGCCTTGAAGCTCTGCATGCTGCTCCCTGCAAGTAGAAATGCTCTAGAAATCGTTCAAGACGCGTCATGTCAGAGTTTGTTTTCTTTACTGTAATGTTGAGGCTCGAGGGTAGGAGGCCCCAATTTGTGTTGGTAGATGGAGCGTGACTTTGCAGCCAATGGAGCAGAGGCTGCACGGCTGCTCCATTTGCTTCACGAGGTTGGGCTGAAGGGCCAGAAGCTTGCGGTGAGCCACGTGACGAAGAAGGCAGCACAGGTCAGAGCAGCAGTACCGATGGTTGATGTCGATGAGCGTGTTCAGGGAGGAAGGGCTTCAGTCTCAACGCAGGGTTCTGGACATGAAGGGGGTGGCGAGTAAGCCCAAAGCAGCTTTCAAGGTTGATGGTGGCGATGTGAGGTATAGCACCCATGGCCCCAGCACGAGGGACACTAGGTTTTTTTGTCATGAAGCTTGGCCGCGAGGTTGAGGAGAAGATCAGCGTGAAGCTTATATTATAATGGAGCCTCTTAAGGACTACAACGCTCAGGTTGAGCAAGGAGAGGCTTGATTGGGAAGTGCCGCGTCTTCACTGTGAGGAGGTACTTGACAACATGACCAAGTGGGTGCGTGCTGTGACCGAGCATGGAAGAATGACAAGCATCCACTTTGTCTATGCCAAAGCGACGAGGGGATGGGACCATCTCCCACTTGCAGTCGCACTTGCTTCTAGACTCTAGACTTTGGCAGGGATCGATGTGAACCCTTTGATGGTGAGCCAGGTCTTGGCTGACCTAGTGATTCAGGAGCCCGCGCGGAAGCTTGAGCCGGATAGGATAGAGAGCTTCCGATATAAAATCGCTTTCCCCGGACAAGCGTGAATTTGCTTGTCCATGAAGGCAGAGTTGACATGCTGGGAATGTGGCTTGCGGAGGGCTTGGACAGGTATAAAAACGCAGCCGTCAAGAAGATGCGAAAAAGGCTGACAAAGGCAGTGAAGATGAAGCGACCAGGATCTATATTGAGGACAGCTCGGATGGAGATGGGTGCAAAGAGGGGGAAGGAGAAGAAGAAGCAGCAAGTTTCTGTTGCAGTAGCATCTTCAAGAAAATCGCGAGGGGCATTTCGTGGTGGTGTAAAGCAGGGCCGCTCGCGCAACGCTCCACACGCTGAAGGAAAAAACATGCCGGATGGGATGGCAAACAGGAGAGCCTTCCTCGGGTTCATCCCAAAGCATCATGTGTTGGAGCCGACAAGTAACTCACGAGGAACTCGACCTGAGCGATTGAAGGAAAAAGTCCGCAAGGTGGAACCACGTGCAAGAGGCCGCGTGCAGGACCCCCCGTGCTTCGAGAGGGAGAGTGGAAGCAACAAGTATAGGGGCGTTAATTAATCGTTGGCTAGTCATCTTGAGGAACCAGCTCATCTTCTACCACTTTGGTGTGACATGCCTGACTGGAAAGACTGCCTCAAGCACACTGGGTCACAAGAGCGCCAGCCCTGAAGAAACGGTGCGCATTGCGGCCATTCTTTGCGCCCGTGGAAGTCAGGATGAGGATGCCAAGGGCCGCAGAAGTCGATGCAGAATTCGATGCTGGGCCGCTGAAACCGGCTGTGTAAAAATGGCAAGGCGTCTAGGAGGGTTGCTCAATGCTTTTCTTGGAGCGCAAGGAAAAAGAAATTGAATGGGAGTACCGGGCTGAGGAATTGTATTCATTGAGGTCGTGTCTAAAGATTTTAGACGAGGTTCATGGAGTTAACGGTTATCATCATTTGGGACGGCAGCTTTGGTTTCACTCAAGTCGGCTAAGAGGGGGACTGGTCACTGAGTGGGTTGGCGCTGTAAGTCCTACCTAATGGGGCTTTCAGAGAAGTGCCACTGTGGGGTCCCTTTCACAGCGCAGAGAGTTTGCAGCCAGACTACCACGCCCTTGCTGGGCGCTGTGATTCGAAGGAACGATGGCAAACCATATTGAATTACATGTCAAAGCAGATGAGAGAAGGGGGTGGCGTGTGGGAGGTGCAGGTGTAAGAGGAATCAGAAGAAAGATGAGGGTCTGGACAGATGCGAAGGCCACAGAGGAGATGCGGGGTCATGTCATGGCTAGGTGGCTGGTAGGTGACAGAAAAGGGGCGTGTATACCACTTTGCAGGAATGGGGTTTTGCAAAGTTTGTGCCGGAGCAGGAGATTCAGTGGCTGGTCATGAAGGGCCGAATGATAGAGAGCGAGGCGCTAGACAATGTGATTGCACAGAGGAAGCAGGAGAAGGAACAGAGGAGAACAGAAGGAAATCAGAAGAAAGCGAAGGGTTCCTAGTGACTAAAGAAGGGACAGCTACCAAGGGGGGCGGCAATCGTCAAACCAAAGAGTTAAATTAAAGTGTTCTGCTTGAAACGTTTCATTAAACGAACTAGCTCATGACACGTCATGTCAGAGTTCTATATGCGTTGAGGTTCGAGGGTAGGAGGCCCCCATGTTGTGTTCCCATATAGACACCCCTCCCACAAATCCGGGGCAGGCCCGCGCGGACACCGCGCTTTGGATGGGAAAACCTCCCCAAAGAAGGTGTTCTGTTTGAAACTGTTGTTTATACGAGTGTTATTTTTTTTGTTGAACGTGGTTATTTTGTGTGCAGGAGATGATCTCCGAAAGAGCGCGACTGGGGAAGAGGTTGATCGAGCTTGAGAAGGACATAGAGTTGCGGGAGAGAAGGTGGCATGGCAGAGAAGTGGCGCATGCTACAGATGTTGCAGTTTTGATTCAATTTCATTTATATACATGTTTTTTGTATAATAGGCTATTAGCGTGTTCAAACACGTGGCATGTTATCTATATTCCACCATTTTTGTGGGTTTGGTCAGGTCTACTGGTCTCCTGAAAGCGCAACTCCTTGCAGACGACGTTGCGCACCAACTGCGAGCAGCTTCCAAAGACCATGCCAAAGCTGTTGCCCTCGTTTCGAAACAATTGAATGTTTCTTTGATTTAATATGATTTAATATGTTGCATCAATGTTCCGAGTGTTTTGTTACACTCATTCATAATGCAACACTTGTCGGCCCATACCACCGAAACAACTTTAGGTTGTCGTGGCTCAATTAGATAATATAATGTGATTTGCGAGAAACTTAAGAGCGATGATTTTTTTTACATTTTGTTACACTCATAGGTATCCCGCACTACATGGTTCTGTGACTTGCACCCATCAAGTAATTGCTGGCTGGATCCAAGTCATCCTGACCTCCCAGGCCACGGATGATCGACTGCAGAGTCGCCTGGCCAAAGATTTGCACGTTTGTAGTGGCCCCAAAAGATAGAACAAACATGAACAAACAAAGCAGTTTGCTGATATGAGGATTTTTTTCCCTGGATGCAACACGACTATCAATGCCAACTAACATCTTTATAGTTAAAACATTTCTCAGCATTTCGTGTCAGTGTCAGGACTACGAGGTCGTGTGCGTCTCTTCAGCGCTGCCTTCCAGCGCTTGAAAGGTTGCCTGAATCCTGAAGAAAAGCTGAGGCGCCAGCCATTTTTCCAGGAGCTACAAGAGGCATCTTGGAGGGAGAGCAGCTAGCGCCTTAGGGCACACAGCACATGACGGCTAGAAGCGGTAAGCAGACGACTGTTGTAAGTTTGGGCAAGATCCCCCCGTCATGTCCAGAGAGACGGAGCGATGCAGAGTGCTTTGAAATTGGGGGGGGTAGGAAGCTTTTGTTACTACTAGTAAGGCACCTGTTACTACTAGCGTGGCACCTGTTTCTACTAGCTTTTTGTTACTACTAGTAAGGCACCTGTAAGCAGCATTGATTCTTATCAATCAATATGAATGGTTGGTTGGGTAGGGACATATTGAG